TATATACACACACATATATATAAAACATATTTACCTTCCTATAGATCACATTAAGAACCAACCAGAACCATGATCATCAATCATTTACAGTTGTTGATCATCACCTCCTCCCATCATCCAACATCCACCTGTCCTTTTTGGGGGGGAGGTGCTCTCTTGGTGTCTCTAATGACCGCCCCTCTCCTCTCCTCTCCTCTCTCCCTCCTCTCCCCCTCCTCTCTCTCCTCTCTCCCTCCTCTCTCCCCCCTCAGGCTCGCCTCTCCTCGGTGTCTTCCTCCGCCTCGTATTGAATTTCAGCGGCAGCAGTCGGGTTTCTCTGCGGGAGGATCAGGTTCAGAAGGCGCCTCCTCTCTCCGTCCTCACCCCCTGTGTGTACCCGCCCCTCGCCGCTCTCCTCCGGCCCGTCACCTCCCTCCTCTCCTCCTCTCCCTCCTCTCCCTCCTCTCCCTCCGTCCGCAGAGCCGCACTTCACGGTGGAAGTTCCCCGGAGCTGGTGCGCGCTGCGCGGGGCGCACGGAGGGTCGGAGGCATGAAGCGGGTTTAGGAGACAAGAGGAGAGAAAGAGGAGACAAGGAGATAAGAAGGAGAAGAAGAGGAGGAGAAAAAGAGGAGAAGAAGGAGAAGGAGAAGAAGAGGAGGAGAAGAAGGAGAAGGGATAACAGACTCTGACTTTACAGGATCCGGGGACGACGACCAAGGTGAGTCCGGAGCTTCAGTTACTTTTTAAACCACCAGAGAAACTGTTGGATTATTTCCTCTGGTGATGAACTGATCGTCTCTTGATGAGTCGCAGTTATTTCTCGTGTTGACCCGCAGCCGTTCAAACCCTCATCCTCATCCTCAGGTTCAGTTTCAGATGTTGGGGCCAAATCTTTTTATAAAGTGAAATTAATGGTTAATGATATAAATCTTTAATTAAGAGCAGTTTAACATGTGCTGAAAACTGAGGCATTAATATTCAGGTGATTAACAAGCTCAGTACCAAAGACTGATGAGTCTCTATTGTAAAGTATTGATTCCAGGAGGTGCACAGGTCCGTGTGTGTGCGTGTGTGCGCGTGCGTGTGTGTGTGTGTGCGTGTGTGCAGTAAAGCTGACTGGACGTTTTCTCCCATGTTCATTGCAGGTGTAACTAATGATGATGTTAAAGCTCTGCAGTATTTAATGGATCAGATCTTGTGTTAACTGAAGCGTAAAAATGTTCAGGACTCTGAATCGTTTGAAAAGTTCCTGCAGGTCGGTTCTTCTGCTCTCGGCTTTTATCACCAGCTCCTCCACAAGTGTTGACTGAAAAGAAATGAACTGATGAATTGACGAGTGGATGAGAATGATTTTCTCCTGCTGACGGAGAAACTCTGGTATCTGCTGTAGAAACCGTGTGTGGTTAGCATGCGAGTCGTGAGGTGACAGTCTCTCACTTTGAGCTCCAGTCAGGGGTTTAATCTCTCACCACAAGTGATCAGATCATTAATGAAGAGGTGTTCGTCCTGAGGCTGCTGCTGTCCAGCTCAAGCAGTTCAATCATTGATTGGTGGATTCAAATCAATTCAAAAGATTCGTCCCAAAATATGAAGGTTGGTTTTAATTGGGTTTTCGGCAGCTGACATTTAATAAGACTCACGTGATCAACGATTGGTCGTGATCGTCCTGAAGAACCAAACAGCTGCAGGAGGATCGACACCAGCTGAGGGGATCTGTCCCAACCTGGCAACCCAGATGTGCCTCTGATCAGTGACGTATAACAAGTTGAGTCAGATATTTTCAAAACTGTTTTTATCTCCACGATCCTTCACCTCACGAAGTAGCCGTTACTGACGAGCGATAAAAGATCTCGATGTCTCAACTGCGTGATCTGTAATTTGCTGCCACTAGGTGTCTCTAAATCACTCTAACGTTTGCTCAGCTTGTTTCTCTGAAAACTTCAGATCCGAGTTAAAAAACACCAGGATACAAAAAGTTTATCGTAAAAATGTGACTTCAACTGGATAAAATGTGAGTTTTGACTCTTTGGACAAACACAACACTGACACGTGCTCAAAGAGGATATGACGCCACCTATAGGCAACCAAGTGAAATGTTACCTTTATTAAAAGTACAGATTTCTGCAGGTTTGAAAACTTAACGTCAGGTCGATTTTACACGTTGTAATGAGGTCGAGTTACAGATTGAACCTTTGACTTCATGTCTTTAATATCTTATGTTCCTGATGTTGTCTCACTTTTAAAAGACTCTTCTTCTTTTGAAGCGTCTGTGTTTAAGCATAAGTTAGTTTCAGCTGCATTCGGAGCTCGGCACCTGCTTCATGACAGGTCTCCACTTGTTGAGTCTGTTATTGCGAAGCTATTTTTACTGTGATATTTGAGCGGATGAGACGTGGATTAGTTCGGTTCATGTGAGACACAGTTTCCTGGTGCAGGTGAACCAACAGAGATTTGTTGTGTTGTAGAGCGAAGGAGATTCTTCTGTGGTGACTCGAGTCTTCAGGTAGATTAGTACCTGATGTCGTCCTGCTCTTGTCCTCGGGAACTCTGAAGGGAATTTCTTCAAAGATGTAACTGACGTTCATTCTGGTGGTTGAAGGTCAAGGTCACTGTGACATCATGATCTTGTGAATGTGTTATGTACCAAGAACATCCACAGGAAATTACATCACGTGTGACACGAACAATCACTGCTTGTCTCTGGCGTGATCAGAAAGGTCAAAGGTCACCGTGACGTTGTGAACTTGTTTTCTTACGAACGCGTCAAGAGAATCGTTTCAAATTCGGCCCAGTTGTTCAGTGAGACTCTCAGAGGAAGTGATTCGATCAGGTTAGACTGTAATGTGATGTATGTCGACGGACACTGCACTGACTGGTGGAGGCAAACAACCTCAGGGCAGCAGCTCTGGAGACGGAGTCAGTTGATTGTGTGATCGAGAAAAAATGTCAATAGTCATGAAAAGCCCAACACAAGTTCCAAGTGTCAGTTATCGTCAGTTTTTCCAGAATTGAATGTTACAGAAATACAAATAGAAACAAGTAAGAAAATCCTCCAGTGAACGTTTTAATGTTGCTGCTCGATTAACGAGAGATTCATCATGAAAAGATGCTTTATCTTCATTTCCCAGCAGTTAATTAACCGGTTAATAGACTCGTCATTTCTCTTCACTGCTCAGATGAAAATCTGCTCAGCCTCAGTCAAAGCTCTTTTTCAAACTGGCTGTGGGAGGAAATTGTTCTGCCAACAAAGCGTCTGATTCGTTCTCTTTGAAAGCAAATAGAAAAGGCAGAGAACTGCTCCGTGTGTTTCTTTCTGCTTTATGGATTAACACACGTTTAGAGCGTGAATTCAAATCCACATGATGAAACCTCCGTTTAAAAAAACTGGAATATGTTGAGAGCTGGTGACTGACGCAGAGCCGGGACTTCATGAAACATTTCAGCTGCTGCTTCTCTTCGTCTGTGACACGTTGGTTAACGTCTGATTCCCCTGAAGCTCCTCGGTCACCAGCCTCCTGCTTCTGTTCCAGAGTCTCTCGTCAGGTCTCGATGTTAACGTGGATCCGTTCGCTCTCTTGATTTCCTGGAAGCTGCAGAAGCTGATTCCTGCTGCTCGGTTCACTGAGGTGGAAACCTGGTGCTGATGTGAGCGAGGCCAGAGGTCAGAGGTCAGAGGTGACTCCTCAGCTGTTTTCGTTCTTCCAGTTTGTTGCTCTTCGGAGGGGGGGGGGGGGGGGGGGGGGGGGTTCAGGTTAAAGCAGCAGAAATATTCTTTACTTCCCTCCTTCCTGCGTCTGAAACTAGCTTGTTGGTTGGTGCCGGTGTAATTACGATATTACGACAAACGCTGTGGTGGGTGTAAGACCTCCCGACCACTTGGTGGCAGTAGGGCTCCTCTAAGCTGGTTTGTCAGCTGCCTGTAAATAAAGAAAGTTTTTATTCCTCACAGTAACTCTTGTGTTTTCTCTGAGACGGTTTCTCCGTCACGTTGTCGACCTCAGCTCGTCAGACACTCGAGGCTCGTTAGTTTGGTTCCTAATTAGAGTCAGGGTAAGATGGTAGTTTAATATTTGATTGTTTAATGTCTCCTTTGTTTAGTTGGTCCTCAGAGTCGAAGCTGTTTTGATTTCACATTCATGCACAAATTAGCTGCTTGTCATAATTTAAATTAGTGTTCAAGCTAGAAATTAAATTAAAAAAGGGATTCAGCCAGTTTGAGTGTTGACGACTCACGTAGGGAAACACTGAAGTCACAAAGCTCAGCCTTAAAGGTTAAACTAACATTTTGATGAATGAATTTTTTTGATTTGACAAAGTATTTTGATAGATTTTCAGCATCAGACGGGATGTTAGTGTGAAGGTAGAGGCCCACATTCATGAGGTTTTCATTTATTTACATAGATTTCTCTCCTATAGACTCGTTTATCCTCCATTAAATATAAAGCAGATGAGATTCTGTCCATTCTCTGGTGCTGAGTCGTTCTGGGAGGAAGAAACAGATAAATTCACCTTCATCACGATGAAGAGGAGAGGTCGAAACCCACTGCAGCTCCACCCTCAAACCTCCGAGGAGCTCCGCCCTCTTCCTGCCCGCCATTTATCTCCGCTCTGATGATGAGGTCATCAAAGTTAATCTTGAGGACATCAGAGAGAGAGAGAGAGAGAGAGAATGGATATAGTGGACAATGTTTCTACATCATACTCCATCATGATAAGGTTTATAATCTAACTTTAAATGGGACGTTCAGGTGTCATTACATTTTAAATCCAACTAAAACAAATAAACTACATTATTTACATGACTCCACCTCTGTGGGTGGAGCCATGTTCCGAGTGTAACTGAAGCAAAGCAGCTGCGTTAAACCCTTTTGCTTTGTTTCACTGAGGGCGCCTGTTACTTTAAGTGTGTGTGTGTGTGTGTGTGTGTGTGTGTGTGTGTGTGTGTGTGTGTGTGTACACTCACAGGTCCGGCCTCGAGCTGCCGTCCCCCGGCGCGCTCCGTGCTCTCCTCCTCCAGACTCACCAATCACGAAGCCTCAGGCTGTCACACAGGACGCGAGGTCACAAAACCATGAAATCCGAGTTTGATTATAAAAACGTCTTCACACTAAACGCTCGTAAGCAGTGAGGTGGGTTTGCAGTCGCCATGGATACCCACGATATCACGAGCTCCGTTACTGGGGAGCCCGTCCGGCGGCCTCCTGAGGAGCCGGTGAGTCAGTAGGAGACCGGGCGTCCGTCTGAAATCTGTTTGTCTCACGTCCACTCTGCCTCCATGGATTTGATGAGAACTGGCTCCGGTGATTTCTGTCGAAGGTTTTATTGAAGGACGGACGTTCACGTTCTCTCGGTGCCGGGAGTCGGATAAAATGACCACGTGATCGTCCTGTATCTGAAGCTTCGTGTTTGATCCGTAGCTTCATTCGATCTGTTGGTTTTAGTTTCACATTGTAATTCAGGGACTCAAGATCTTCCACCATCATTCTCGTTGTTTATATAAACTCAACCTGATAAGGAGCCGATAAGTTTTATAACCAAGGACGTTTCAAAATGAACTTCTCAGTTTGACCTGAAACAAATCTCACATATCTGCTCTGACATTTCTTATCGTGTGAGATGTAGAATTTTATTTAACTGATGACGACGTCTGGCTGTTTATCAGTGACGCTCACTTCTGTTTACGTTCTTTGGCCGATTTGACCTTTTTACTCTTTTATACTAATGAAGTCATGAGACTGTGTGTGTGTGTGTGTGTGTG